TTGAGTAATTTGCACTAATTAGAGATGTAAGGGAAGTGGAAAATAAATAGGCTTATGAGAAGGGCTAAGGGGAGAAATCACAAAAAATAACACTATAAATTGCAGCAATTCTCATTTTCCTTATACTGTCTGCCCACTCCAGATCCTGCATGAGGAAGTTACAGTTAGTTTTCACATACACTGTACACCAAGTGGTTACAAGTTATATTGTTTTGTGATTCCTGGAGTCACCTACTCTCTTTTCTGATCAACTCATACCCATCTACAATATCTGCAGCTATTTTTGTCACTATGGAATGTGTCTGAGGGACTACTGCCCCAGCCAGCTTATATAAATAAAGGCAAAAAAGAATCATACTCTTCCTGCAACTGAAATGCAAAACATGTCACATTTTTAATGCACATTTTGTCATAGTCACCACCTAACACATTACCCAAACCTTGGTTTACACTTGCAAACACGAACAGGGAAAAAACACGCTCATGATACTTGCCAGCTTAAAGCATGGGATCTCTGTGGAACGCCAAAGTGCCAGCCTAGCTCCTTCCTACAGCAGGTACCAAACAAAAAGTTGATGATAGAAGTTCACTAAATTTCGTAAAGGTGTAAAGACTAAATAACGTGTGTTTGATTTTATTCTTGCACATAATTGCAGATAATAAATACTGATTAAAAAAACCAGTAACATATATTGTATTAAATCTACACACTCTGGGCAAACAAACTCCTTCCTATGAGTATCTAATTCTCCCACGTTACCCAAATGCACACTCCACCTGGTACAGAATCTTGTACAAAATTATTAGGTTACCAGTACATAGATGTGCTTTAATCTTTCTTCATGAGAGTTGTAACAATGCAGATACTGCTTGACTGCATTTACTAGAATTTTTCCTAATAAAAATAGTTCTTTTGTCAACACTTTTTTTTTTTTTTTTTAATCTTTGAGTTTAATTTCTCCGCTATGGTCCTGTTCTGGGATTCAGTCAAGCATCTTTAAGATGTTTATAAAGGGCATAGGATGAATCCTGACCCTCCTTTTTGCAGCCACAAAAGCCTTTCTGGCATCATGCCTTCATGACGCAAGTGACCTCACCTTTTTGATAAGACCTTGTGAAAGGCACTCATGGGCTTTGCATGTTGCTGAGCCCAATGCTGTGGAGGCTTCCTAAGTGACTGCACCTGAGGAGTTGGTAAAAATAAACTGTGAAAGAAAGGAGAATGCCAATGAGTCCTCCACTCCATCCCAGAGCTGGGATGTCAGACCATCTTCTGTTTTCACAAAGCCATTACACAAAAGCCCTCAGCCTTCAGGCAGGATTCACCCCCTTGTTCAGACGTTCAGGGTACAAACCAAAGCATTTGACAGACTGCACATAGTTTGCATAATTTTTTTTTTTACATAGTTGTTTAAACTATAGAAATTTGCCCAAAGAAATTGAAGTGAGCTGTTAAAGTAGGAAATACATCTTTTCACAGACTTTTAAAATACAGATTCACAATATCAAACACATTTACTTACTATTTTTCCTCAGTTATCATTAAACTAATGATAATTGCTCTCATTCCTATATTTAACCCAGAGAGTATGTCCTTAACAAACTGCAAGACTGTCTAATGAAATATGATATCACAGTTAGGACAAAAACATCTGTCATTGTGCAGAAGTGACCAGCAATTAAGACAGGTAAGAATTCTAATCCAGTATCTCAAAAAAACATTATGTAACTCCAGAGACATTGATCAGCACAATAAATTTGCACTAAGATAGAGATGGCAAAAGACACATAGAAGAACTTAAGGACTCAGATAAGAAACTATGAAAAGGAATTCTTTTTATGAGCAACGAGAGGAAAATATGCCCCACAGGAACAGAAGCATTTGTTCTCAAACTCAGTGCACTCTTGTGAGAGGATTTAGATAATTATGAATAGTTAAGAGAAAGAAATCAACTCACCCTGTCTATGCTATGTTTATAATGTATGACTAGTGTTAAACGTATTTTTGTCCATATGGAAAAAACAAGCAAACAGAAATGCTAGAGACATATAAAGACATGCTATTTCCTTTTTTTTTTTACAGTAATATGCTTCCTCAGGTTAAAGAACAGGATACCCCAAGGCATCCTCTAAGCTATTCATGCATAAAATCACAAAAGGTGTACCTGTAGATCAGTAAACTTTTTATTTCCAGGGAAAAAGGTAACATCATTAGTTCAGGGAAATTCAGGTCTCACTTGAATCAAAGACCCAATACCAGCTGACTTCAGTGACAGAAGGAACTGGCTTTCGGGATTAAAAGCCATCAAGCTACACTGTGTTTTAGAATCACCATTAAGTTTTAGCCCATAAGGATTGCTCACTGTCATTGTGCATTTAAGTTTTTACTTTCCTTTTTTTAATCTTTACCTTATGTATACCACTTACAGATGACCAGGTCCTGAATCCCTCAAGTCAAAGGAACACATAACATGTATTGCCTGTTCTTAGCAGGGTAACCCCCAAATCAGTTATTTGGCAGGTAAGAAAGTAAAAAAAATAATTTTAACTGTTCTTTAGTATCTTGTTAGAAATAGACTGTACTGTCCCCAGCACTCAAGACTAAGGAGCTTAAGACAGAACCTTGTACTAATAAAAGAGGGAGTATCAGTGTGAATGGACCCCAAAACAATGCAATTACATGGAGCTCGGAGGGAGGAAGGGTGGTTGCAATGTCAGACAGTATCAGTTTAATTCCTTGTTGGGTCTATTGCATGATGTTTTCTTTTTTAGCATGGTTAAACCCCTGTTTAAGGCAGGGCATGCAGGGTTTGGCAACAGATCTTGCAGATAAGGAGAGTTGTTCTGCTCTGGGAGGTGGAGTGGGATCTGAAAGCAGTGGAAGAATACCAGGTCTGACCTTCAGCAAAATAAAAAGCCACAGCATGTGAGTCATCCTATCTTCAGTCATCAAGTATGTATTCAAGTCGTTCTCTTAATAATGATGGGATTACTCACGCAGGTAAGGTTCAGCACATGCTCTTGCTGAACTAATATATGTGGACAGAAGCCACAGTATTCTATGCAGTTCCCTTCAGAGGTTTTCTCTGCAAATACTGGAACACCCACAGAATTGAGGGGAGCATAAAGATCCCTTTCTGCTTTCCATGTAATTGTCACACAGACACTCTCTGAACTTAAACTTACTGATTTTTGCTTGGCTTTGAAGCATGTTAGTCCTCATATAGGATATGATTTTGTCCTAATACCAGGACCAAAGATAGAGATGGCACTCTAATTGACACTCTAGGACAGTGCAGTGAGGAAAAAATTCTTTTATAAGGGGTTATAAACCATTATTCTGGTTTCAGAAGTCATTGAGACTAATATGACTGTGCAGATATAATTGAAAAAATGTGACCATTAAACTCTGCAGTATATAGAGTATTTATCTACAGTAATATAGATGTCTTATTTTGGGGTAGATGGCAAAGAAGTAAACAAGGGAAGACTTGTTTTGATGAGGTCATACCAGCCAGCATGACAGTAGGTGCCTAAGATGAGAAGAACTCCGATTTCAAACCAGGGGTGACAGGGTTCCAGGTAAAAGAGGGTTGTCGGAACCCCAACACACAGAAGGTTCACGTGCCACCGCCCTCAAACCAAGGGTGGCCAAGAGAAGAAAATACAGATCCTCAGGCAAGGAAGAAACCCCCACATCTGGAAGTAGACTGAAAAAGGCAAGGTGGGACAGAAAGCCATAAAAATAGCAGCCATTATGATGCATTCCTATCTATCAGTTTTCTGTGGTCCACAGTCATAAGGCACGACGATCACTGCACCAGCAAGTAAGTGTTCACGCACACGAGGGGTAACAATAGTGGAACATTTACAGACACTTTGACTAAAACTACTAGAGTAACTGGTAACTCTTCTATTGATCAACGTCCTCCAGCTACCATTTTTTAAATTATTTTTTTTTTCAGTTGATTTTGTGTGGTATAAGGAAAAAATGAGCTACAGACAGCTGGTCTATGACAAAAATGGTGCGTAGATACCATTTCTAGTAATTATTCGTTAATAGCCAAGTCCACCTCCGTGCAGAGAGCCTGAATAAGACCCATTTGCCAGTTATTCTGCTCCACTGAGGCCTAAGATGGAGGCATTTGGCAAAGTTGCTGGTGTAGCTCTTGAAAGTTATGAAGAATCTGATGCTAGATCTGAGCTGAAATAACTGAGAAGAGGAGCACTGAAATAATGGTCTGGAATGAATATGACTTTCAAAGGCATCAGGCATTTTAGTTTTACCTACATTAAGAAGAACTTACTAAGAGAGCAGTCGATCCAGTGAACAACTTTTTCTAAACCACTAATAAAAATACAGTTGCCATTCAACAGAATGAGTAGTACACAAACTATTTGCACATTTTGCAAACTTAGTATTACTTTTTCAGTCAGAAGCGATTCCACAAAATACTTTCCTTTTTTTAGCAATGGCACCTTTTTTAGTAGAAAATTGGGAAAAAAAAAAGAGAATAAATTAGTTAGACTTTGAAATTATTGATACAACTTGATGCCATGTTAGGGCTTTTCTCTTGCATTACACCTATTTGAGCTTACCATGTTTTGAAGTCTCAAGCCTGTTACTGCCAGCTGCAACAGGATGAGAGCAGACAATGCACTTTGTGGTGGGTTTACAAATCAAACTACAGAAAATGTGAAGCAAAGAATTGCCACATTTTTAAAATATGTGTAATCAGGTAGGTTCCAACATTTAGAGTAATCATTCCAACTGGTCACAGCAAGTCAGACAGGTTTTCTAAAGGATCTAGAAATCCTGTCAAATTTTCTGCAGTACCTCAGTCACATGGAAAAGATTTTATATACTTGCTCTGTTGAAAAGGCAAGACGAGATACAAATTAAAAGGCACAGTTACTATAGAATGGTCACATTTCTTGAATAAAAATATCTTATAAATTATATAATGATTAAAATCAAGAACAGCCATTTTGCTGTTGCTTTATTTCTCAGTGTTGACTGTTTCTTGACCAAACATCTCTATCTTTTCTAATGTCGCACCACTGTGTGCTGGAGGAGTCTTTCCTGAAGAGCTTTTCTTTTTTCTTCCCATTTCTGTAGCTTCCGCCAAAGTATTAGTCAATGGTTTTCCCAGTGTTTCTGGAAGCATTATTGTTAATATTCCACTCAGAAGAGCCATGATTCCAACAATCAACTAGAAGAAATAAACAGTAGCTGTAAGAGCAGAAATGTCTTTCAAGTTATGCATATGTTTGATCTTGCTTGAAAGTACATTTAAAATAAAGCACAAGGAACTATAATGTAAAGCAAAGATTATAAGTCTTAAACATCAACTGTATAAAAGATCTGCCTATTTTTGTTGTATAAATGAAAGATTATTCAGCAGAACTAATGAAGAGCAAGTGAAGTGTTTTGTTCCACAAGGGATCAATACAGTGCAAGCAGGAATAATTCTGTTTGAGAAAGCAATACATGTATCTTCATTTGGTATTTCTACTATCAGGTATATATTTAAGAACTGATTCTAGAGTTGCATACATTTTTACATGCATACTCATAGAGCTACAATATCCCTGCCACCTGTAATCTCAGTTTGCACCCTAGCTCCTGAACCTATTTCCCCTGTACCTGTCTGCCTGTTCCTCCTGCACGCAGCCAGACCAGGATTTCTCAGTATGGATCACTGTTGGCCTGGAGCCACAGAAGTGCACATCCCTGCTCAGGAGAGCACCTCAGCAGATAACAAATCTAGCTCTCGACAGGAATACTTTACTAAACTGCAGATTCAAAGATCTGTTAGAGGTGCAGGCATCTCCTGACATTTGCACTGAGATCACATCTTGGGTTTGTCCATGGTGTCCATGGTTCTGTAATGACAGCTTACTTCAGCACGAGTGGTGCAAGGATCAGGATCATGTGTGGTAGATGAAGAAGCACACACACGCTCCAGGAGTATCTGTTCCTTCCCTTCATTTCTGTACCTTGTTCAGTAAGAACAATTCACACTTTCCTCCTTTGAAGTACGGAACAGCATTAAAACCCTGACATTCTTCCAAAGACAGGTTAAAAATGACCCAAACCTCTCTTGATAGAAATGCTTCCACAGAGTACATCATGCTTGGCCTCAGTGTTTTTCCATTTTATGACTGTGCACTTTGATACTGTATTATCCTTATCTTGCCCTATGCTGATTCTCATGTCTGTCCTGTTTGTTTAATACTTTCTTTCCAAGTGTGAGACAGAGCATTTGGAATTACTGTGCCCATGTATCTCACACAGAGCTTGAGACAAGAACTGGCCAGCTACCATCTGCAGCTAAGGCAGACTTTCTCCTTCAGTCAGAAAGGTGTTTTAAGATTAGAATTCTCCATTGTAACCTTGAACAGTGCTATTTTCATGCAAATGCACCATGCTCCTTTTGTGCCCTCCCTCCCCCAAAGAAGAGGACATCTTGTCTCAAGCGGAATTCACACTGTTGCATACACTCCTCTTTTTGCACTTGCACTAAATATAGAGGCTGACAAAATAAAAAAATTAAGCAAAATACTGTTGAATACTACAAACTACAGTGAAAATAAAATAGACATGCTCTTACCATGAAAAATTAAAAAAATCCTAACAGTAACAGGACCGGAGGAAATGGCGCTAAGTGACAAACAGAGGGAAATCCTTGTAGACATATATATGTGGCAGGAGTGATACTTAAAAATATATTCCAGAATATTAAAGTCTCACCTCTGAGTGTTAAAACTCTTCTCCACTATTAAAACATGATTTTCTGCCATGGTAAGACAGGATGAATTGACACATGGCAGCTATTCCACAGTAACCTGTCTCATGCACATCCTTTAGGCTGTCATAAGTTTGAGGATACTGAGGGCTCTTAAGGCTGTTGAAGCTTATGGATACCCATACATTTGGAGTTTATGAGAACAGGGTCACTACTGATGCCCAACAGAACAGAAGGTTAAAGCAACACTGTGTGCTTTGAGTATGTGTGTCTCCTTTTCAGTTAGCCTTTCAGACACTTTGCATTCTTCTCATGTTTTCCTTCCTCATAAACCTACCTCTTATTCCCCTGCGGACTCTCACTATTCTGTAAGCATACACACCACCATCTTTCCTGCTTTTTCATCTCAGCTGTCTTAACTCTATTCCTTCACATGCTAGTGTTCATTTTTTCAACATGAAAGCTGCTGCATGCCGACTAAGTCAGTGTTTCCCTTCTCCCTAACCCAACAAAGCACTTTCTGAAAGACAGAATATGAAACAATTAAGTCACCATATATTAACAAAAGGACTTCTCAAATGTCATCTACCTTTTCAGGGGCAGTAACCACACTTATCAATGAAGTTACTCACATTTAGTCAAAGCAAGTCTTTTGCAGTCTTACCTTGGCGTACTTCATAATACTTCGGACATAACTTAGCCCTTCGCTTGCTCATAACAAATGTGTACATTTTTTATGGATGTACTATTTTACATATATAATTCAGCATCAGAAAATGTTCTTCTGATATAGTCAATGCTTATGAATTAAAGTGTACTATTGTACAAAGTATTTAAGTTATGTTTAAGCTCCATTGAAGTTAAGTTGACAGGAGTACCTGCTTAATTCATTGCTTTTTCAGGGTCTTAATTTGAAAACTGACTTTCTGCTTAGTCAAACTCTCAAAGTATTCCCAACAGTTCAGTAGAGCCAGAAGCTTCTAACAGCTACCATAAATAACTTCAAAAAAGATTTACTACCATTTTTCATATGTCTTCCTCCCTACCTGGAGCACCAATTTTAATTTCACAGCGGTCTGAGACACTGTTAGTCTAGAACATAATATAATTTGAGTTAAACATCCCTACAAAATAATACTTTTACTTCTGAGAATAAATGATTATTCTAGTCTGCTATTTATATTTGTATCCACATCTGATGGCCTTATTTACAAAATTCCTACTTCAACAAAAAAAAAAGGTTAAATTTTGTCCTGAAATCCACTAGTATTAGGCACAGGATTTGCATTCATTTAACTTACTGACCTCAGTGGAGGTTTTTTTTTTTAATTTATAATTTATGGTTTATCTGAGAGAAAAATCAAGTCTGTTAAAGGGCTACTGTAACATAATTCTTAACAGCTGAGGAACACAAATAGGTTATACATGGAGTAGTTGCTTTACTGTAAGTTTTCTAGAAAGTTGTCACATGAAAAACATACTTGGCAAGTTATTCAAGATTTATAGGCATTCAAATGAGATGCATTACTCACAGGTGTCATAACTGTACATGAGGCAGACTGTCAAACAAATAGCGGTAGTAACCGCTTGACAATGTGTGGTGTATACAATAGATCAACATGATGTATATTAGTTTACTTACAAATGTAATCCATTTCATTTCATTTCCATTCCAAAACACTTACGTTACCTGACACTTGGCATGCTATGCTCCAACTCAAGACAAGCCCATTTTAATAAATTGGCAAATGTTTTATAATAGGAGCTAATGAAAACATATTCACTGTGAACCACTACACAACTCTACAAATACTCTGGATGCTTTTTGTACACAGAGTTGCTCATAGCCGAAATAATTCCTCTGTTTATACTGCCATTTGCACGCCTCTCCAGCATGTTTGAGCATTCCCCATCTGTGGTTTAACTGCAGCACTTCTGCACAGATAAAGCTTATCTCAGCCAGTAAAGGCAAAACACTGACAAGAGAAAAAGAATGTTCTCCCACGACCACTCTGTTGCGCAAATGTTGCCTTGTCTTTTCTGGGATCATATCTTGGTTTGTATGGAGCCATTATTAAGAAAGAAAACATTTTTTTAGGAGTTTGAGGGAATAAATTAATTTGTGGTCTGCTTCATCCTCTTAACTTTCATTCGAAACAACTGAAAGTAATGAATTTAAATAATGAAACAAGTTCCCAAGAATTCTCTGAAACCAATCCCTAGCATCTATAATTGAAGAATTTATAGTTGCAAAATCAAAAGGACACAATGCCACTTTTTCAGGAAATTCCAATGTAGTAGACGAAATTAGAGTAAGAATCTAGGTGAAAGGCACATCCCGTTACATTTTCACCTCCTGACATGTGTAATCTACATGTAACATTGGTGTGCTAGTCACAGTGAATTCTAAGAGTTTTTGAAAGAAATGAAACTATTTTTAAATCATTAGTAAACTTCTCTACTTAAAGCTTTAATATAAACTTTGTAATTCCTTCTGTTTTTACATACATGGGCATAAATTATCCTTCAGGAGTAAAAAAGCGATTGAATAACTGCAGGATTTCTAAGCAGCAAATGCTTAATAACATATATGTAATGAAGTAATGGGATTCATATGTGAGCGGGAACTACATAAAATATTTTGTCCCAAATGGATGTGAAGCTACGTAATGGAGACAAAATGCCCAAAGTCCACAAAGGAATGGTCTCACCTCTGTTTTCTTGGGGCAACTGGAGGCAGAAGACAAAACCTAATGGTAGCATGACCTAGAGTCACCTACAAGTAGGATGTGCTTAAAGTATCCAGGGTCCTGTTGCTGTCAAAGTCACTGTGAACGTCATCAATATACCATTTGTTTCTCTTTTTCTATCTCATGCATTGTTTTGTTCAGTTCTTGTTAATGAAAAATGCAACAAAGGAGCTTTGGGACAGCTGTGAAGACCAAGTATAGTAAGCATAAGACATTCCCGATCTTTTGGAAGGCTACTCCAAAAATGCAATGTCCCGAGGAAGCCATGGAAAAGACTAGAGATTAATATTAAGAAAAAAAAGCCACCCATGCTGAATTCCGAGACTGGAAGAACTATGCCTTTGAAAAAAGGTAAGAGTAAATCATGAGCATGGTCAAGAACTGCTAGGCCTGCAGAGTAGAGAAGTATGAATTAAGATACTTCCTAAATGTTACATGGTAGATAAAAAATATTTTTATGGAAAATATTTTTATCAATTTTATACTTGGATTCAGTGCATATGTATGTTTATATCTTCCATCATAAAAACTTTTTAGAATATTTCAGTGACTCAGAGTCTCCCTTTTGCTTTAGCTGCATATTCTTAACAATATGAAGTTACTTTGAGACTTAAAATTTAGAACAAGAATGGGTCATTCAATTTTCTTTTCAAAATAAAAGTTCAGCTTTTGGTCTCTGAGAAAAGAAGTGACACATAAGCCTCTTCAAAACCAGAAACATTCACCATTGAAATAAATACTTACAAGTGGCATGAAAATCCAAACACTTCTC